CATCAGGTAGCGAACTGCAAGGAGAGGTTGAAATGCAAAATGAAAACATGCTCAGGAACACATCCCACATGCCTTCACAAGGAACTAACACAAGACAATGCTGCCATCTCAAATTGTATGAGTGTATGTCTAATTCCTGAACAAAGCGGTGGATTTGATCACACCATGATAGTACCAGTGTGGGTCAGACCAGTGGGAGACCCAGATAAGGAAATCTTGCAGTATGCAGTCCTCGACGATCATTCAAATGTCAGTTTTGTGTCTGAGACTCTTTGTGAACGGTTTAACCTGCAAGGCCCATCAACCGAGCTTCTGTTGACAACAATGCAGCAGCAAAATGCCCGTGTTAAAACTAAAAAGATATCTGGGCTAGAGATTTTTGACTACCATAGAGAATGTGTAGTGAAGATGCCAGTGGCCTTCACCCGGGAACTTGTTTCAGCTAACCGGTCGCAGATTCCAAAACCTGAAGTGGCTAGGGAATGGCAACATCTGAAGCCCATCGCCGATAAGTTGACACCGTACCACCCAGATGCAGAAATTTCTATCCTGATTGGAAACAACTGCCCAAAAGCTATCCGACCCAGGGAAATAGTTGCCGGTGAAGATGACGAGCCGTACGCTCAGAGGACTATACTTGGTTGGGGAGTTATTGGAAGAGTTTGCAAGTCTAATGATGTTGAAAACACAGACAAGGGTGTATGCAATAGAGTTGCAGCTTCAGAAATTCATAGCCAGTTTGCATTCGCCACAAAGGCTAAAGAGATTATTGGCCCAGAGAAAGTTCTCCATGTGTTAGAAACTGACTTTGTTGAGACAAGTCCCAATTACAAACCTTATTCTATGGAAGATGAGAGATTTCTAAGGATTCTTGAGGACGGAGTAAAGAAACAATCGGATGGACGTTACGTGATCCCACTTCCGTTGAAATCAGACAGTGTGTGCCTTCCAAACAACCGCCAGCTCGCAGTAAAGAGATGGAACCAATTGAAGGCGAGATTCAAGAAGAATCCGAAATTTTTTACTGATTACCAGGCCTTTATGAAGGACATAATCTTACAATGTGCAGAGGAAGTTCCTGTAGATCGTCTTAAGGTTCAAGACGGTAAAGTCAATTACGTACCGCATACAGGTGTCTACCATCCGAAGAAACCAGGGCAGATAAAGGTGGTGTTTGACTGTTCGGCCCAGTTTAACGGAGTCAGCCTCAATGACTACTTGCTGCAAGGTCCTGACTTTATGAACGATCTGTTGGGTATCTTGTGTCGTTTTCACAAGGAAAGCGTTGCATTTATGACGGACATCAAGAGCATGTTCCACCAGTTCGTGGTTGCCGAAGAACACAGAGATCTGCTACGTTTTCTTTGGTGGTTGGATGGGGACCCATCAAAGGAAGTAATCGAGTATCGTATGAAAGTTCACTTGTTTGGTGCCAGCAGTTCCCCAGGTTGCACGAACTTTGGGCTTAGGCGAGCAGCTGACGATGGCGAAGAAGAGTTTGGTACAGATGCTGCGGCGTTCATACGCAAGGACTTCTACGTAGATGATGGACTAAAATCTGTATCAACGGTACCCGAAGCCATTCAGTTAATCAAGGCCAGTCAAGCAATTTGTAGCAAGGCTTGTCTCAGATTACATAAAATAGTCTCGAACAAGAAAGAAGTTCTTGAAGCCTTTCCGGTTGACGACCATTCAAAGGAAATAAAGGAACTGAACTTAGCTGTAGATCCATTACCTATTGAAAGAGCTCTAGGCGTGATGTGGTGCGCTGAAAGTGACAGTTTCCGGTTCCGGATTGAACTTCATGATCGCCCTTTAACTCGAAGAGGTGTATTGTCCACTATTGGCTCCATTTATGATCCTAATGGGTACCTGGCCCCTGTTACACTCAGAGGTAAACAGATTCTTCAGCAGATGTACAAAGACAAGCTGGATTGGGATAGCCCTGTTCCAGAGTATCTACACCCACAGTGGGAAAAGTGGCGGCGAGAAATCGTACAGTTGGAGAAACTAGAGATACAGCGATGTTTCAAGCCAGACAACTTTGGCCCAGTGAAAGCAGTGGAGGTCCACTATTTTTCAGATGCTTCAGTGGAAGGTTATGGTCAATGCTCTTATCTAAGATTGATTAACGAACTCGATCAAGCTCATTGTTCCTTCATCGTCGGAAAAGCCAGGGTAACCCCCCTTAAACACAAGACTATTCCAAGGCTGGAGTTGGCTGCTGCTACCACCTCTGCAAGAATGAGTGAGTTCGTGAGAAATGAGTTGGAGTACCCGGAGATGAAAGAATTCTTCTGGACGGATAGCCGAGTAGTTCTCGGATACATTAACAATGAGGCCAAGAGGTTTCACGTTTATGTTGCTAACAGAGTGCAGCAAATCCGGGACCTAACCGATCCCAACGCATGGTTTTACGTAGACACAAACAACAACCCCGCAGAAGAAGCATCAAGAGGACTCACCGCAAAGCAGCTGGTTGAAGGATCTCAGTGGTTAACTGGTCCAGAATTCTTGTGGAAAAGCGGATCCTGTGAACCAGAAAACGTGGAGCTGCCTCGCCTTCAAGACTCTGACCCGGAGGTGAAGAAAGTGTCTGTTTTGACCACGAAGGTCAGAAGTGTTGCTCCATTTCCAGATCAATTTGAAATAAGCAGACTAGATGGTGTATCTAGCTGGTACCGTGCTATAAAGGTCATAGCTCTATGTTTACGTCTGAAGTCCAAGTTTCAAAGAAGGGAAATTAAGAAACCCGAGAGTCCAGTAACAAGGTCAAGTACAGAAGTTGAGAAGTCAATACTGAGAGTTACACTACCAGAGCTTCAGGAGGCAGAGAAGACCATCATCAGATGTTTGCAGTACGAACATTTCCGTGAGGAACTTCAAATTCTCTGCAACTTAAACGTAACCAACGGAGAGACAAACAGGAACCAAGCCAGAAAAAGGAACCAAGCGTTACGAAAGACCAGTTCGCTGTACAAACTGGATCCGTTTGTGGACCATGATGGCATAATTCGTGTTGGCGGTCGTATCAGAAGAGCAGATACACCACTTGATCTGAAGCATCCAGTCATTATTCCACGAAAGGGACACTTGACTGAACTGTTGATTCAACATCACCATCTCAAAGTGAACCATATGGGACGTGGTATGACGCATAACGAGTTGCGGCAAAGTGGCTATTGGTTGATCAATGGTTCATCAAAAGTGGCGAGGTTCATATCGAGTTGTGTAACATGTAGACGACTGCGTAGGCCCACTGAGCAGCAGAAGATGGCCTGCCTTCCTGACGACAGACTTGAACCAGCTCCTCCCTTTTCGTTTTGTGCTGTTGATTACTTTGGACCGTTCATTGTCAAAGAGAGAAGAAATGAAGTTAAACGCTATGGAGTATTGTTTACATGTATGGGGTCACGAAGTGTTCATCTAGAGACTGCCAATTCATTGGAGAGTTCTTCATTTGTCAATGCATTGAGACGTTTCATGAATCGGAGAGGTGCTGTGAGACAACTGAGGTCCGACCAAGGGACAAATTTTATTGGTGCACGAAGTGAACTGAAAGCAGCATTATGTGAGATGAATCAAGATCATGTTCAAGACTATTTGCTAAGGAATGGATGCGAGTGGATTCCATTCAAGTTGAACGTACCCCATTCTAGTCACATGGGCGGGACATGGGAACGTATGATTCGTAGTGTACGTAACGCACTTGAACCACTACTGTTACAAGCTGGCAGCCAACTTGATGATGAGACATTGCGAACACTCTTGACAGAAGTCGAGTGCATTATTAATTCAAGACCCCTCAGCGTCGATAACTTATGTGATGCAGAAGCGCCAGAGCCGTTGACTCCTAACCATCTTCTTACTATGAAACCTAAAAGAGTGCTACCGCCCCCAGGAAAGTTTCAAAGAGCCGATATGTATTGTCGTAGACGTTGGAGAAGAGTTCAGTATCTTGCAAATGAATTCTGGCTGAGATGGCGGGGAGAGTATCTTCAAATGTCACAAGTCAGGCAAAAGTGGGTTCAGCCTAAGAGAAACCTTGCTGTTGGTGATATAGTCATCTCTAAGGAAAGTGAAAGCACGCGCAACAAGTGGCCACTTGGCAAAGTAGTGCAGGTGTACCCAAGTGACGACGGATATGTCAGAAAGGTCAGGTTGCTGATGGCAGACGGGAATTTGGATGATAGTGGCAAACGCCAACGCCCACCATCATATTTAGACAGACCTATACACAAGCTCGTGCTATTGTTGACTGCAGTTGAAATGTTCCAGGAAGATGTCTTTCACAAGGAGACCAGGGAAGTCCCCATCGAGGAGCCAACGAAGAACAATTGAAAGACGTTGCAAGGGTTTCATTGTCAATGAACATTGTAGTGAACACTTAATTTTGATTAACTCATTTAACATTCATTCGTTGTTGCCGATCAGTGACTCGAACTTTCGAGATTCTACTGTTTGAGTATCGAACTGATAGTTTGTTGAACGTTTAGCCTTAGGGACTCATGTAGGTTTATTGTTTTGTCTTAACTGCATGACATGCAGTTGAGGAGCCATGTTACTACAGCAGTGCTGTAGTAAGGAGTTTTCAGTATTTATGGTCAACGGTTGTTACCATTTGCTTAGGACTCGTGCTAGTTGCCGCCATGTTCTTGTTTATCACATGTGTGATTTAGGTTTACAATCCATGTAATCCTTCGCTCATCCGTATCGTGTAAGGCAGACTAAGTTGTTATCTGAAGAACTGAAGAGTTGAAGATTATTTGGAGATAAAGGAAAGATCTGACGATTCAAGTTTTTCTCTTTTCTTGTGAATAACAACGAAACTCCTTCGGATGCCAAGTACGACTTTCGAGGGCAGCCTCATCAATAAGAAATATATTCTGTCTTTTCCTTATGTTTTCGATTGTTTTTCCAAATACAGAATTATTCATTAGTTTGAAAAAGTCTTTCTCAAAACTGTTGGCTGCTGTTTTTCGAAGTTCTGTATTTTTTCTTATGTAAGGTTCCATCCAAGAACTTTGATAGAATGATATTCCTCTATGAACGGCAGTTATTCTCATTCCCATCTCAAGATATTGCCTCAAATTCCGATAATGTACAACATAGTTTTTTCTTGCTTTAAAATGACAAATTAGTTTTTCAACACCATTAACAATCGTCTTTTCAGGTGCAAGTGGATAGTCATTATGCTCTTCCCATAGTTTTTTAGGATATTCCAAATCCACTTCAAATATATATCCTTTTCTTCCAAGATTTGACATACTATGATTCGCTTTCTCAAGAATATCCATTACACTGTCTTTTGTTAAGTTTTTCATCCATTGAAATCCATGTGTAGGAAGTGATTGTGACATTGCCCAACCGTAAAGATTGTTTGCATCAAGATATTGAATATAACTAGACTCCTCATTAGGATTGTAATTTTTCATATATTTGTTATTTGCTTCTGCGTATCTTTTTGATATGTGAGATATTCCACCACGAATTCCTTTTTCAAACATCATTAACATATCATAGTCATGTAGTAACTGTAATTCCTGACCTGTTTCTTTGAGACATGCATCCCAAGCTAGACCGGGAGATGTGTAATAATGAGCTGGATCTGGGATGTAATGTTTGAGACAAGTTTTTCTAAAGTTTTCAAATACATCTGATAATAATAAAACATCAGTGAGATTGTGATAATCTCTAATTGTTTTACATTTAAAAGTATTCCAAACATTGATAGCATGTTGGTAATCATCATCAGTTATGTCTTCATCATTTAGCTTTGAATAAAATTCTTCTTTTGGTGGTAATTGTGTTTCGGTTAGTTTTTCAAATGATGAAACATAGTCATAAGGATAAACTCCCTTACGAGTTAAAAGTTCAACATTTTCCTTAAATACTTGTTTTGTATTATGGAAATCATCTGGTTGTAAATTTCCAACCAGATTGGCAAGTGATGTTTGAAGAAACTTGAATGAATCTATAAATCGTATTTCGAAATATAATGGAATAGTCTCTCCATTTCGTCTAGACCTGTACTCATCAACTTTAATCTTTTTAGAAAAGGAAATATATTTTTCTTCCGTAGATGGAATACAGTTCAACGCACCTGGTAAACAAGCAAGTTGTTTTATAAATAAATGTGCATCATAACCTTGAAGATTATGAAATATAACTGGAAGAATCATTGGCTTTCGACACTGAAGATTACAACTGTTATGAGCTGCACCACGGTACTGACTGGTAAAATGACAATGATCTCTAACTTTATCATCTAATAATTCTTTCTTACAAATATGACAAATTTCCGCTTTATCAAATGATTTTTGTTCAGCGTGTGTTAGTCTAAGAGGTATTGGACGACGATAAAAATCATTATATATCTTATTTGTTACTTTTGCAAGTTTTTCAACAAATATCTTCGCTACATCATCACTGTCTTTAGTTTTTGTGTAAATAATTGGTTCAAATATTGTATCTACTATTCCTTTTATAGAAAAACAAAATCCTGAGGGTTCATGCTTTTGGTAGTTGTAATTATACGATTCTTTTGGATTAGGACTGCAAGTATTCATTGGTTTGGTAAAAGATTCAAAATCTGCATAAACTACAAAAGGGATTGGAAGTTGTTTGTAGTAATTTTTAAAACCTAACATTGTATTTTCTTTAGGCACATTTACACAAACTGTTTCATTATTTGAACAATATATATGTTTTTCTAATAATTCATACTTAGTAAAATGAGTAAAACACTTTTTACAAATAAATATTGTACCATTCTTACTTGCAGTTTTTTGTGTATTAATCAAACGAGTAAAGTTTTTAATTAGTGAATAATGTGAAACACCATCTTCTTCGTACAAAAATAAATCAATAGTATTTAAACAATCTCTCTCTGCCATTCTCAAAGGATAAAACTTTTTACTTTCACTAACTGAAAAAACATTGATTCCTGGAAGAGATGGATTAAGTTTTTCAAATTTGGTGATGTCTTTTAACTTCATAGGAAAAGTAATTCCTTCGGTTTTAAGTGAAAACTCATACCTTTTCAAACCTGTTAGTCTTTCTTCATCTCTATCCCTTGGATGAAGATATCTAAGTATACACCAAAGAAAGCATTTCTCATCTTTGTTTTCAATATTAACTATTGCTTTTTTATTTGATATCCAATCTGGAAGAGGAATGTAGGATGACCCCTTTGTTGGATTATATTCAACAGTATGAATTTCAAGTTTTTCCACTTCTTTAAAATACCATGCACTTCCAGTTTGTTGATAATTTTCAATACCTCCGTCAATAGCATCTATACATATTTTAATTAATTTGTCAACATCTGTTGATATAATATTAATAAGTGTTCCTGAAGTAAAGTACGCTTTATCTTCTTCTAATCCAACAACACCAACATTTTGTTGAATAGTTTGTTTTTCCATTAAACAAACCAAAATCATCTTAAATTATATATTTCGATGATATGTAAAAAAAATCCTTTAAAATTTTATAAATTTGTCTAAAATACTCAAGTGGAGTAAGACCAGGAATTCCTTCAATAATATACTTAACAGCAAAATCTTCAAAAGCTGATTTTTCTTTTTCAAGTCCTTGATCATATTCTAAAATAGCTCGCTCAAGAGCTTCACGAAAATAAGAAGGAGTATCTTTGGGGATCTGTCTATTTTTTATACATTCCTCAAAATACTCGTCAAATGATTTTATATTTTTCTTTTCAGAAGGGGGCGTCTTTTTTACGGTAGCTTTCTTTTTAGAGACTTTTTTAATATCAATTCCTTTTCTCACTTTTTCTCTAGCTTCTTTTAATATTTTATATTGTTTAATTGATTTTCTTCTTTCTCCTAATTCCTTATAATCTTTCTTAAGTTCTTCTTTTTCTTCTTCAATGATATGTCTTATTTCATCCAAAGATAAATTTTGAAATTGTTTATCTGTTATAAAAGCTTGAGAACCTTGGAAACCATCAGTTGATTAGTTAGACATGACGTCTTATACTATTAAGATTATATTATAAGACGTAAATGTTTAAGTTATATTTAATCACTATCAGTTTCAGAATCTTCATAACCACTTAATATATCGTCAAGATCATCACTATCAACTCCATCACTATCACTATCACTATCAAAATTTAATTTATCGTAAAATTTACAAAACAACTCATAAAAATCTCTATATCCTGGATAATCATCAGGATGACCTTCATCAAATTCTTCATCTTCTTCAAAATCAAAATGCATTCTTTCAAATAAAAAAACTATATTTTCAACATCACACTCTTTAAATTTAAAACAACTTGTATTATTAAGATAACCAAGTTCTTGTGCTTTCATAAATTTTTTTATAAAAGACTTAATTCTGTCATTATAACTAGAAACAAAAAGTTCAGTAGTATTAGTAAGATATTTTTCTACAAAACTTTCCATTTCCTTATTAATACCTCTTATAAAAAGGTATTCATTTTTAAAATCCCTTGCATATTCTGGAATTTTTGAATTACTACTTCTGACGCAATTTTTTTGCTCCAGAATACCCATTTTCCTAACTACTGCCCCTCCCGTCCCTGGAGCTGCCACGTATGCTGAGATTGTTGATCGACGGTCTGCTGACCCAACAGATCCCCCCCCTGGGAGCCAACAGGCCACGGGGACTGGGAAATCAGTTCCAGAGAAGAAGTCACTGACGCAGACGAGCTCAACTCCCCCTCCGTCAGAGTCCCCCTCGAGAGAGAAGAAGGAGGCCCCCTTAAGAGAGAAGAGGTCCCCCCGGAAGAGAAGTCCCCCCCCGAAGGAGAAGTCCCCCCCGAGAGAGATGGATCAGTCCTCCCCGGAAGCGAAGGAGCAGTCACCCCCGAAGGAGAAGGTAAAGATTAACCCTTTAAGCCCCAATATACATGTACAAATTCTCCAAACTGATCTCTACACATTTCCTTAAAGAATGAGTTGAGAGAATTTGATAAAATATCGAAGCCTTTTCTCTTAGGTGATCATTTTATTAAGTCTCATAACCTCATCTCTTGACATTGTATGGATATTGTTAAGAGAAAATTGATGTTGGTCACTATCGGGACTTAAAGGGTTAAAGGAAAGTCTTCTAAGAAGCATTCGCGCGAGTCTTCGCGTGATCGTGAGCGTGAGCGTGACCGTGAACGGGACCAGGATCGGGAGCGAGACCGTCGTCGGGATCGCGATCGAGATCGCGACCGGGATCGGCCTCGGGATCGCGACCGTGACCGCGAGCACGACCGCGATCGGGAGTGTTATCGCCACTCTCGTTCTTACCGGGATTATTATCCCAGCCATGGACGCTCCGATCACAGTTCTGATGAGGAAGAGGATTGGAAAGTAGTAGATAGAAGGAAGTACAAGAGCCGGAGTCGCAGCCATAGTAGCGATAGGGGTTAATTTATCCTTTTTTCCCTATTTCAACATGGCGCTTAAGCTTCTCAGTCTAAATGTCCGGGGCTTAGCCTCGGCTCGCAAACGTGATTATTTCCTTCATGAACTTGAACGTTTAGATTATGATGTTTATTTTCTTCAGGAGACACGTCTCTTGTAAGAGATCGGCCGATCCATTCGCGAACACGTGGAAAGGTCAGTGTTTATGGTCTTTTGGTTTAGGTAAGTCTGCGGGGGTAGCGATTCCCTTTTCTCCTAATTTTTCGGGGAAAATAATTCGTTATCTGCACGACTTTGACGGTAGAATTTTAAGCGTCCTTGTTGAAATAGACTCTGTTAAATTAATCTAGTCTGTCTTTATGCTCCAAACACCGTTTCTGATCGTAGAGTTTTGTTTGAAAATGTTCACGCCTTTTTCTTGTCTCAAGGATCTTTAGTTGTAGGTGGGGATTTTAATTGCATTGACTCTGATATTGACAGGATGAATATTAAATCGGACTTTAGTGCGGACAAGCGAGTCTTGTCTGCTCTGAAGACCGATTTCTGCCTTGTCGATGTCTGGCGCAAAAGGAAACCTTCCGTAATCTCTTATACCTGGGCAAACAGTGACTTCTCTCAAGCTTCTAGATTAGATCGTTTTTTAATTTCTCGATCCTTATTTTCTCTAGTTCGTTCAAATCAATGTTTTCCTTGTTCGCTTTCCGATCACGATTATGTAGATTTAGTTTTGTCCCCGTGCAATGGTAACCCCCGTGGGAGCGGTGTTTGAAAATTTAATTGCGACCTTTTGGCTGATGGTGAATTTGTTGCTAAAATGCATGACCTCATTCTCTCTCATCATTCCCTTATTCCTAGTTTTGCTTCTTTAGGCGCTTGGTGGGAGGATTTAAAAGTTTCAATTCGGCGTGCCTGTGTGGACTTTTCTGTTGAGAAACGTAAGCGCTTAAATCGGGATCACGATTTATTAACTAAGCAGTTAATCCGGGCTAAACAGTTAGTTTTTTCTGGTGATAGCCGCTTTCTAGATACAGTTAATGACCTTGAAACTAAGCTCAGTTCTCTCATTAACAAGAGTTGTGAGGGGGTTAAGATCCGATCGCGTGCTAGGTGGTTAGAAGAGGGTTAAAAACCGACTCGTTTTTTCTTTCGTCTTGAACAGAAGCGTGCCGAGAAAAATTCCTTTTCTTCTCTTTTCGACGCTGATGGTACGGAAAGGTTTTCCCAGGCACACATTGAGCTTATCTTAGTTAATTTCTACAAATCCCTGTTCCCTAACGACGCCCTAGGTATGCAAATTCAGGAAGAATTTATCCGTGACCTTGACACTTGCTTAACTGACTATGAGCGTGACTTGTGTGAAGGTTTGTTAACAAAGGAAGAATTATTTACTGCTTTATCAGGCCTTCAGGCGGGTAAATCGCCTGGGTCTGATGGTCTTCCGCCTGAATTTTATTCCGCTTTCTAGGACGACCTTAGTGATTCTCTGCTCTCGGTTCTTAATGAATGTTATAACACCGGTTCGTTAAATTTAAGTCAACATGAGGCTCTCCTACGTTTGCTTTACAAGAAGGATGATCGACGTTTGCCAAAAAATTGGCGCCCTATTTCCCTTTTGAACACTGATTATAAATTAGCTTCTACGATTATTACTGAACGTCTGAAAAAGGTTATGGACTCGATTGTACACGCGGATCAAACGTCTGCATTTAGTTTGTGACCTTTTGGATATGATTGATAAGACGGATGAGTGCGGTATTTTAGTTACTCTTGATCAAGAAAAAGCTTTTGACAGAGTCGATCATGCTTTTCTTATGGGGGTCTTAACTCGGTTCGGCTTTGGTCCTTCTTTTCGCCGCTGGGTTTCTATTTTCTATTCGAATGTTTTTCCCGTATAATTTGTAATGGTCGGCTTACTGATCCTATCTTTTTAGAGCGAGGGGTGAGACAGGGGTGCCCTCTCTCCCCCCTCCTCTATGTTTTAGTTTCTGAAGTCCTGTCTACTCAGATCCGCAAATTTAAGGATATTGAAGGTTTTTCTCTGCCGGGAGCCAGGGGACTTCAATTTAAGATCTCCCAGTATGCCGACGACGCTACTAATTTTGTAAAATCGGAAAGGTCTCTCTGTCATTTATTATCCGTAGTGAACAGATATGAGAGGGGGTCTGGCGCCAAGCTTAACACGGCCAAGTCCGACGCTATGTGGCTCGGCCAGTGGTGAGCAAATGGTGCCTCCCCCTTTGGCCTTAAATGGGTACATAAAATGAGAATCTTGGGTGTTCATTTTAGTAATGGATTAGTTAATGTTGACGCTGATAATTGGAAATCTAAGCTTGATAAGTTAAAACAATCGTTAGGTTTGTGGTCCCAGAGAGATCTTTCCTTTATAGGACGCGGCATGATCGTTAACTTTCTCGGGACAAGTAGGTTTTGGCATGTTGCCAAGGTCCTCCTCCCCCGACTTGGGTTTGTGATTATTTTAAGCGGGCTGTGTGGCCCTTTGTTTGGAAATCAAAGTCGGAAATGGTTAGTCGTCAGCGATGTTGTTTACCCGCCTCCTCTGGGGGCTTAAATATTGTTGATTTTCAAACTAAGTGTGCCAGTTTGCGCGTGTCCGGTTTAAAGTCTTATCGTGATGAATTCGGCAGGTGTAAATGGCATTACTTGGCGCGTTATTTTTTAGGGACTCGATTAGCTAAACTGGATAAGCGCCTTGATTTTTCTTCTAACGTGGTTCCCCTCTCGGGGACGCCTTCTAATTTTTATCGTACTTGTTTGGGTATTTTGACTTCTATTCATACTAAGCATGGTTCCTTACCCGATGATTTTTCTTGTAAGAATATTTACAATCTTCTTTTAGAGCTGCCGGCAGTCTCGCCGCGGTCCGCTGGTTTTTGGGTGTCTGCCGTTGGGCGCCCCATTAACCGCTGGGCCTCGGTGTGGCGTAAATCTCGGCTAAAGCTCATTGAGAACAAAAAGAGCGATCTGATATGGCTTATCTTACATCGTGCTGTTAAAGTACGCTACTCCCTTAAGGTGTGGGGCTATAAGGTTAAGTCAGATAAATGTGCTCTCTGTTCAAAGCCCGAAACAATTAAGCACTGTTTTCTCGCGTGTCCAAGGTCGCGTAGGGTCTGGGGATTTTTCGCGCCCTTTTTGACTAGGCTTGAGGGGTTCTACTTTTTCGCTCTCCGTTTCTTCTGTCCTCCACCCTTTCTCTGATTCCCAGTCTTCCGCCCGAGTTTCCCTTTCCTGTTATCTTAAGGCGACTGTGCTGTACTGGATCTGGCATGCTAGGAACCTGGCTACCTTTCGTAATGCTGTTTTATCATCGGCAAAAATCGTGGCTAATATTAAGAGGGATATCTCGCTTCGTATTCTTGCATCCCGTAGAGACGAGCAGGCTAATTTTTTAGCTTTGGATAATATTCTATGTTCGCTTCGCGATAAGTCTATTAGTTTCTTCTCGTAGTTTTGTACTTTGTATTCGATTTGTAAATAGTAATCCTCTACCCGATTTGTAAATAGTAGACTTTTGTACATAATGATTGGTCAGAAAATAAATGGCCCAGCTTCCTGGGCTTTTATATTCTTAAAAAAAAAAATGTGTTCTTATTGGTCACATTTTCGGTTTCTCCGCCGAAAACATGAATATTCCCTCCCAGTACGCTTGGATCGCTTCCCTTTTTGGTGCTTTGGCTTCGTTTCTGTCCTTGGGTTCCTTCTGTGAGTTTTATTTTCCCGTTGCTGTGTTTTTATCTATTTATTTTGTGTTCTTGTGACACACGTGTTGGGCAAGATGGCCGCGAGCGCCCCTCGCCGCGTCTTTGCCCACAAAAGAACTGTACGATTGATCATTGATGATGATATGCGGATCGACTCTCTTGAGGTGATCGCATCTTTACCCGAATATCAAGCCGTTATCACTGGTGTAGTACCTCTCTTCGGAGGAAAATGCATCGACATTACTTTGCGCGACCACGAGGTCGCCGCAAGACTAGCCGCGAGCGGCTTTGATTATGGAGACATTCGCAAAAACCCCTACGCCTCCTTGGCGAAAAAGTTATACAAGTTTCCTGTTTTGTACCCGTGGAATTCCCAGACAACGTTGTGTTGGAACTTTTGAAACAATATGGAGAGCTTAAAACAGAGAACCTTCGCCGCCTTTATTTTCAGGAGGAGGGGTTCTCTCATATCGAGCGTGGAATCCGCGTGGTGGAGTTCACTAAAATCAACCGGGATCTACCCCGTCGCATCGTGACTCAAGGAGTCGAAATAAATTTTAAATACACAGGACAGCTGATTACGTGCTATCGGTGTAACTCTACAGAACACGTTGTGAGAAATTGCGACAAACAGCGTCACGTAAAACCTACCGTGAATCAACACCTCGCAGCATCCGGGGGGGAAGCCATACCTGGTCCCCCTATACCCTCGACAGCAACTGATGACACAGTTACCGAAGATATGGATCATGAAACTGAGGAGACGACCTCGGAACCCTCGCAGTCGCAGCCGCTGAGCTACACACAGGTCTCCGACCCGAATGAAGAACTTTCACCTTCCTCGGCCTCGCGTGACCTGTTTGATACCTCCCCTCAGTCAAGAAAACGAGCCCCCCTCGTCACCGGCGAAATCGGACAATTCCAAACCAAAGCAATAACGTGCTTCCTCGAGTACTGCTATCCGTGACCCGGCTTTCAAATTCCTGTATGCAGCCGCGAAACAGGCGGGTGCCGAACGCAAAAAACTGATGACCACTATCCCTGGCCCGCAATACTACCGGTGCCGTGCTCTGTACCTTCAACGCCGATTTGGAAATCTTGCCGACTTAGACCTACAGAGCCCCGCTCGCCGCAACTTGAATGACCAAGAACTTGACGCGTGGGTAGAACTTCACCGCACCATTACTCAGGACGCCCTGGCTGAACTTATAAAGATGAGCCAAGCGCTCTCCCGCGACCATCCCAGCCTTTTGAAGCCATAATTTTCACCGTCACCTTCATGCGTTATAATTTTATTTTATTTTCCTTTCTAATGGCAGTCTCGCTGGCATCCATTAACGCTAACGGCGCTGCCGAACGTCATAAGCGCCTTAAGGTTTTTAGATGCTTGCGAGCTATGCCTGTTGATTTATTTTTATTACAAGAAACTCACCTCGCGGACTTCACGCAAGGTAAGGCATGGGAGAAAGAGTGGAGGGGGGGGGAGGTCAGTGCACGTGGTCCCCCGGCTCTAACCGGTCTGCGGGTGTCGCGGTTCTTAATCACCCGAATAGTGCTGCGAAACTCGTGGATTCTAAAACCGATCTCGCGGGTAGAGTAGTCACCGCCCTCATTGATTTTCATGAGCAACGTTTTCAAATCATTAATGTTTACGGGCCTAATAAACACCGCGAACGCGAATTATTTTTTGACAATCTCTGGCGTTTTAAATACCCGAACATCGAAGCTATTGTTGTCGGGGACTTTAACTGTGTACCGGACATCACGCTTGACAAGTGGGGAGGCGATGACAGTTTTGGAGACAGGGCTGTCATGCAGCTACACTCTTTCACAGCGACACTCGCTCTAGAAGACTTCTTTTCCGTTTCTAACCCGCGCGGTAGGATTTTTACGTGGTTTAAGGTGGCTCGACTGGATTTTTTAGGGGGGATACCTCCCAAGTTTGAACGTCAACTACGTCGGCGTGAGTAGAGGTATGGAAAAAAAGTTACCACAGCTGTATTATATAAAGATGAAACTTTCTTATGATCTGGGTTTTCTTGCAATCGGAGTCACCATAGCAACGTAATGACGCCATTACGTTTTTCATTTATCTTGGTGTTTCTCTGTACCAGGAGTTTTTTAAAGAAATCGCTTCAGGGAGTATGTACCTGTTATAATTGCCTCAGTTTTGGCAAAGATTGAACAAATTCTATGAGAGCGTTTTTGAGATATTTTGAAACGAAGTTTTAAGAATCATAAAAACAGTGAAATAGCATGCTATACACAAAATTAGCTAATATTCTAAGAAAATGACAAGCTTTGGAAACGCGGCTTCATCTCATAGTGGTTTAATACCATTGAAAACTGCCTTCCAAAAAAAACAGGGGAATTGCTCTGGGCGATCGCGAGAAAGAAGAATTTTATTAACCCGCATTCGGCTGCGTTTGTTACAGTTTGTATACGTAATTTGGTCCATACCTACAAATTTCGCATTATTCCAAAAACCGCTCGATAAATTTTTTTATAAACTTGACAATCTAGAGATCATTTGTCAATGAATACACCCTGCAAGTTTCAAGGACATTGAAAACAGGGAAGGCTTTTAAATAAGGCCTCCAAAAGAAGTAATTTTTCCCCCAGATTTGAGTTTACAAGTGAGCGTCCTCATTATTCATTGGCATTGTTTTCAAGTTTCATATGCACGTGCACAACTAGTAAAAAACAGAATTTGCATCAAAAAGGACCCTCGGTTACTTTCCGAAAAAATCTCCGGGATATGCTAATAACCGGGTAAAGAAATGAAGTAATATTACGCACTGAATGTCACGCTATAACGCTGTGTGATGCAGTCATGCCAAGGGTCTCTGAGTCCAGAAAAAGAAAAGCAGCTATTCTGCTAAACAACAGTAGAGGAAAAAAGTTTAGTTCAAGTGATGGTGAAACGCAGGTATGGGTCCATTCCATTTATTTAGTGTGTTTATGGTGTCTTTTCTTAATGTGGCACAGAAAAGAAACAGAAATAAAATTTCCGAGTCATTTCCTAATTTCAATATTATTTTTCGACAGAATGGTGAGAAGAATCTTCCCAACCAAAACGATGATCTCCCTCACAATTACCGAGGCAGACTATTGAGAAATGAGCAGTGTAAATCTATGAGAGAATATCGCTGGAGGGACCGAGTTGATGTTGATTCCAGTGAAAATAAATCAGCAGCCTGTGTTCCCGAGGGACCGACCTTAAGATCTGCCTTGCCATATCAAAAAGTTCCAAATATGAATCAGTCTTACGTGGTGAATCTGGAAATGTTAACAACCGCTTTGGAGGAATGTATGAATTGTCACGAAGGACCCCTAGATTTGAGAAACAGTTGCAACGTTCACAACGAAGGAGTGTGTCCAGTCATGAAAGTAAAATGTGCCCGGTGTGATCACATTAATATTCTTCGCCCAGCAGAACATCATGGAACGGGAAGAAGAGGTCCCCCAACTTTTGACGTGAATTCCCGCGCAGGTCTAGGCGCACTTCATTCTGGAATAGGACATGCCCATTACTCGGGACTACTTTCAACGATTGGAATATCGTCTCTGTCTTCGAGTAACTTTAAAAACCGCGAGCGAGAAAGTGGAAAGGTAGTAGAAGAAGTCGCCAGGGAGTCTTGTCAACGATTTAACGATGAAGAGAAGAGATTATCGTCAACTGGGGAAGAAGAAATCGTAAAAGTGGGTGTGTCGTACGACATGGGTTGGAGAAAAAGAGGCCGTAGTCATGATTCCTCGTCAGGAGTAGGAACAGCAGTAGGCTTGCAGACCGGCAAAGTCATCAGCTATGCCACTCGTAACACAATTTGTCGGGTTTGTGCTGAAGCGCAAAAAAAGAATCAGGAAGCAGTCGCACATGATTGCCGCAAGAACCACCAAGGCTCTTCCAAAAGCATGGAGGCTAACGTAGCTGTCGAGTTGTTTTCTGGTGCATTGAGCAGTGGTGTAGCTTACACTACTTACGTGGGGGATGATGACAGCGCCACAGAAAGTCATCTTAAAACGTTAGTTACCTACAATATCGAGAAATGGAGTGACATAAACCATGCAAGTCGGGCGCTAGGAACGCATTTATACGCAGCAAAAGGGAAGGTGAAAGGCCTGACACCGAATATTATATCCTACATTCAGAGGTGCTTCACTTATTGCGTTAACCAAAACAAGGGCCAGCCATTGTTGTTAATGGAAGGATTTTCCGCCATAGTACCTCACGCATTTGGAGATCACAATAAGTGCAGCGCATCCTGGTGTGGCTACAAAAAAAGATCCAAAAGGTTATAAGCACGGAGATCTTCCCGGGGAAAGGATTTGAAGGGCGAAGACCTCTGCGCTGCGGGTGCTTGAAGATGCTCTTCGGCCATTTATGTGTGAGGAATCAGCAAAGAAGCTAGCCCCTGGTGGCTCATCACAGCGTAATGAATGCGTTAACAGCGTGGTTGGTTCTAAAGCCCCAAAATCAGGCACTACGGAGGGTCTGAAAGTAGCGACTTTCGAACCAAGCGGGAATCGCCCAGTTCAACGAAGGGCATAGCTACGTCACACTTGCCGCAGAAAAAAAATGGGTTTGTCAGGTATGTCTGTTACAGAAGAGTATACTAGAAAAATGGAAAGCCAAAGGAAGCGGAACGCCGAAAGAAAACGACTAAGGAGTTTAAAAGGGTAAGAAGAAACTCCCGAAAGAAAAGGAATCTAAGGAAAAATTCAGTCGAAGCACGTGAGGGAGTGACATATCAAAGCGGTATTGGATTGCAGCAAACCGACAAAAACTATGTTGTTACTAAGGCAACTATGACTGATCTTAAAGCAAGTCTTACTAAGGAGGAGTTTCAAGGTTTCACAGAGCCCCTTCCTAAATTGAAAAACGTAACGATACCCGAATTACCTACCTCTCCACACAACTACCTCTTCTTGTCAATGGACTTAGAGACAACGGGGCTTGAACGGAAGTCTGAAATACTTCAAATCTCATGCTCCCCATCAAATGTGGAAACTGAGTCATTTTCTGAAAACCTTTTCCCAGAACGTCAAATTATAAATCAGGCGGCGACGCAGGTGCACGGTATTAGCGTAGACTTTCGAAATGGCCAAAAAACGTTGATGAGGAGGGGGACTGAACTGGCAGCCGTATCACAGACACAGGGTCTAACACATTTTTGCTCCTATCTTGAACACTACTCTCACTCAGCCAGGATTGTACTAATTGCACATAATGGAGATAAATTTGACTTCCCTGTTCTGATAAATGCACTTGAGAGGAACAATTTACTTAGAGTGTTTCTCTCAATCAATGTTTTACTTGTGGATTCTTTAAAAATTGTTTCAAAGGAAATGAAACAGAAAGATAGTCCATTGCAATCCTGCAAGAGCAAGTCCTTATCTGACCTTTATGAGTGCCTAATCAAGGAAACGTTTGACGCACATGATGCCGCGGAAGATGCTGCCGCCTTATCTCGAGTGTTATTTCAGTCGCCTTTGAAAGTCACACCTGAAAAGTTCATTGAAAACTCTTCCCCGGCAACTGCATTCGTAGAAGAAATGAAGTCTTCACAGGACGCCAGAGCACGGTAAACAACTCTGCATCAACTGCCGGTTTCTGAAGGCATGAAGGAGAAGTTGGGAAAGGCCGGACTTGACTTGACAACAATGGAGGCCGTTTACAGAAGGGGTGATACCAAAGCTCTGCTAGCAGTGATAGGTCTACCAGAAGCGTTCGAAGAAATAGTAGACAAAGCCAGTAAGCCAAGAGTAACCAAGAACGTAAAAATTCTTACAGCAATCGTAAATTTTTTTTCAAACAGGCGTTCTTAAATGAATGAATGTGTCCCACTTTCTATTTTGTAGCATGTTTTCGATAATTTAAAAGGTGCCATTAAGTAGATTATTATTACATCCACGAAAACTAAATGGCTATTGTTATTATTTTAGACTTTAAAGAATTGTTTGTAACTACTCTATTCGTGTAATTAATTTAAAAAATGAAAATTGGATCGGAATGTACCAACGTTCCTAAAAGAAAACAGAAAATTAAGTAACTCCAAAGAATTTGTATTTCCTTTTTCCTTTTACAGTAGCTGTTGTTATTCAGCTTATATTTATTCGTTCAGAGAATTCTCGAAACGAGCATGTTACATGTCTTAGGAGGTACGCGGACGTTATTCGTTTAGTTTGTGAACGTATTTTTACAAACTTTGTCAATCACACCCTCCTTCTAAGCAAGCTGTGTTTCACTTGAAATTTGCATGAAGAAAGAACATTGCTAACATGAATTTCATTAAAAAAAGAGCAGAGACAATGGTAATTTGTTTGATGCGAATATCTAAAGGCGATTGCAACAAACAACCCGAGTAATATACACGATGAGCCGTGACGTTCACTGTTTCGGCTGTCACTGCTTCGGCTGTCACTGCTATCCGTGACACAAGCCAATTATTAGCATATTCGGGAAATTTCTTCGGAAAGTAATCGAGAGTCGTTTTAAATGCAAATTTATCTTTTTTGCTAGTTGTGCACGTGCATATGAAACTTGAAAACAATGCCAAAGAATAATGAGGACGCTCACTTGTAAACTCAAATCTGGGGGAAAAATTACTTCTTTTGGAGGCCCTATTTAAAAGCCTTCCCTGTTTTCAATGTCCTTGAAACTTGCAGGGTGTATTTATTGACAAATGATCTCTAGATTGTCAAGTTTATAAAAAAAATTTATCGAGCGGTTTTTGGAATAATGCGAAATTTGTAGGTATGGACCAAATTACGTATACAAACTGTAACAAACGCAGCTGAATGCGGGTTAATAAAATTCTTCTTTCTCGCGATCGCCCAGAGCAATTCCCCTCTTTTTTGGAAGGCAGTTTTCAATGGTATCAAACCACTATGAGATGAAGCCGCGTTTCCAAAGCTTGTCATTTTCTTAGAATATTAGCTAATTTTGTGTATAGCATGCTATTTCACCGTTTTTATGATTCTTAAAACTTCGTTTCAAAATATTTCCAAAACGCTCTCATAGAATTTGTTCAAACTTTGCCAAAACTGAGGCAATTATAACAAGTACATACTCCCTTAAGCGATTTCTTTAAAAAACTCCTGGTACAGAAACACCAAGATAAATGAAAAACGTAATGGCGTCATTACGTTGCTATGGTGACTCCGATTGCAAGAAACCCCAGATCATAAGAAAGTTTCATCTTTATATAATACAGCTGTGGTAACTTTTTTTCCATATCTCTACTCACGCCGACGTAGTTGACGTTCAAACTTGGGAGGTATGCCCCCTAAAAAATCCAGTCGAGCCACCTTAATGGCCCTCATTCCGTAGGATGTCGGCTAGATCGGTTTGATACCCCGCGAGCCTGGAGATCACGCATCGCGCGACACACGTGTTCGTCCTTTGCGTACTCTGATCACCATTTAATTAAACTTCAAGTCACGTTCGGACCTACTAATCCCCGGGGCCGGGGGGTATGGAAATTCAACACACAGCTGCTCAAAAACGAAAGTGTTTGCGCCGCCGTTAATTCCTTTTGGTCATCGTGGAAATTAAGTAAACCAGCTTTCACCGACCATCGGGTTTGGTGGGACGCTGGAAAACTGCAATTAAAAGAGATCGCCATCGCTCATAGTGTCGCCGAAGGACGTGAGCGTAAATGTGACAAACTTAATTTAGAAATTGAATTTCGCAACATCCTGGCTCGCGGTACTTCAAATACCGCCGACGATCACGTTCGCTTAGCGGAGGTTAGAGATCTCTTAAAAGCCATCGAAGAGTGTAACGTAGAAGGAGCTATAATCCGTAGCAGAGAGCAACGGCTAGAATTCGGAGAAAAGCCCACTAAATACTTTTATCAACTCGAAAAGCAACGCCAGACCCGTAATTCGATCAATGAATTACGCGTCGGAGATCAGACCGTCACGTCTCACAAAAATATTTTGACAGCTTGGCGAGATTTTTATGTGAACTTGTATACTGCTGAACCGGTCGATTTAAACTGCCAAGACTGGCTTTTAAATCAACTGGATATAGCCCTGACATCCGAAGATCAGGAGAAATGCGAAGGAGCCCTCACGCTTTCCGAGTGTTACGAGGCTCTTAGCCAGATGCAAACAAATAAATCTCCCGGAGCAGACGGCTTTCCGGTTGAATTTTACCGACGCTTTTGGAGTTCGCTAGGCCCCGATTTAGTCGAAGTCCTAAATTATTGTTTCGAACACGGGCAATTATCCGACTCGCAAAAGCAAGGGATAATTCGTCTGCTTTATAAAAAGGAGGACCCGTTGCTCTTAAAAAACTGGCGACCAATCTCTCTGCTTAATACGGATTATAAAATTTGTACTAAAGTACTGGCCAACCGGCTTAAAAAAGTACTCTCTGTAATTCTGAGCGAAGATCAAACCTGTGGCGTACCGGCTGTGGGCTTTTACACTAATTAATAATTTTTTTTCTATAATGCTGGCTTCCTCGCCGCCCTCGATCTTGTTCAAACACGGCTTGCCTACCGGCGATAAGCACTCCATTGCTCTTGTGCATGTCATTATCAACGTCACTCTGAACGAGATCCGGGCGGCTAGGAATCTACCGGCTTTCGAAAACTCGCAACAGCCGGCCTCGGCTACAATTCGCAAAGTAAAGCATCGCCTGCCGCAGCGGATCCGTGCCGCTTATAATTTTAATAATATTCCTGTTTTAAACAAGACGTGAGGCCACAAGCAGGTCCTATGTAAAATCGAAAATCAGACCCTTCAGGTCCTTATTTAGTTACCAGGCTCCCGGGAGTAGGGCGGGCCTGGCAGTACCTTTCACTCACGGGGCCCTCCCTGCTCCGGGGACCCCCCTTCCTCAGTTACACTTAACATTGCTCTACAATATTACGACTTCTCAAGTCCAGTAGTACTTGGGAATTTCCCGAGAAAGTAGGCGGCATATTACAGAACTTTACAGGGCCGCCATAATTTCGGCTTAGTTTAATCATTGTAAGTAACCAACTAAATCGCGATAATTATCCTTATCTCCGGGGAAGTAGGCGGCATATATTGGAACTCTACAGGGCCGCCAAAACCTCGGGTTCATCGATCTTATTTCTTACACGTGCAATTTCAGTGACTCGGGGGCCTGGGTTCTAGTGACCGCGTGCCACTAGCCCAGCCCCACCCTATCGTACATTCTTAATTTTTTTAACTACACTTGATTGTAACTACTTTCTAGTGATCTGAAAATAAATTATTTAAAGGAACAACAACAAAAAAAGTCCTCTCAAGGTGAGGCCCTCTCATTGCACTTCGATTGGGTTGACCCTTGCGATTACCCCAAATGTGGGTAACTCGAGCGTATAATTTCTGGTAGTTGGGACCTGCGTTCGCGCTAGCCCCCGGTTGTGTAGTAATTATTGTATTCAGCGCGGTCCACAGGTTATTTAAAAAAGCGCGCGCCAATGATACAACTGGTAACGTGCGCGCGTGTGATTGTTTCTCATACAGGTGATGGATCGATCGATAAATCACGGAGAGAAAGAAGTCTCCGGGCACCAAGAAAGAAGGTAAATGATCTTGGAATATGTTGAAGTTGATTTGTAGCTAAGCTAGCATGTTATTTAAAAAGGAGCTCGCTCAGTAGAGCAGAGTAGAGACTGAAACGTTTTACTCTCAAAGGAAAGGTGAAGTGAAAGTCGCAAGAGATGTATGTTCAAGAAAGAGGAGGTCGACGGTTAAAAAGGAAGCAAGCAGGATTATAAACATCCGTCTATACCGTGAGTACAGCTTTGAATCAGTGCTTGTTTGCATGTATATATTGAACTCGCCCTTTCTCTCGTTGGTCTTTACTGCATAGCGCTGGTTACGGCGGTTAATTTAAACTGTCGACCGTTAATAACAACTACTAACGAACTCGGTCTTGTGTTGTCGATCGAGGGCAAGTTGTATGTGGCCTTTTGGCTTGTTTGTCTGGCGTTCGCGGCCGTTTTCTCGGCCTGTAGTTGCACTTAAAGGCGAACGTAGACTTGTAGAAGCTGTGATTTGAAAAAAGTGATGTCACAAGCGGTGATTTGAAGTCACAGAGCAAAATGGAACATTACCGCACGCTCTCGAACCAACGCGCGTTCTATGTCCAAGCTATATTATTGTGAAAAAAAATTACCCCACAACTTGATTGCTTCGAAGAATAATTCGGCGTAACTTGGGAGCTGACAGCAGAGGTACATTCCAGCTAGGGGTAAAACAGCAAAAGTGATGAAAAAATTCCACAAAAAATAAATGAAAAGAAACCTGCAACACGGGGTATTCCCAGGCGGTCACCCATCCAAGTACTAACCCTGCCTGACAGGGCTTAACTTCGGTGATCAGACGAGAACCGGTGTTCTCTCTGTGGTATGGTTGTAGGCGAGAGAAAGGAGAGAAAATTTGACTTCTTATACCGAGTATGGTGAACATGTAAGCGAGGCATTACTTCATTACCCTCCTCAGGCAACCCTGACCTACAAAACAGGCTATGAAGTCTTCCTTTGTAGCTCTAAATAAATTTATGCGGCCACTTACACGGAGCTTAGCGGGCTTTAAAAACCCTTTGGGGCCTAGTAAGCGGTCCCAGTCTGCCTCGTTCTCGTGTTCCCTATCCTCCTATAGGTTAATGGCCGAGCTGTTAGGGCCTGAGTACCGTGTAGACGCTATTTGATCTCTGTCTGTACACACTGTAGTGTCCTGGGGAGCTTGGCCGAGTATCGGTGCTCGGACTGAGCCAATGATATCTCCGTGTCCTCGCATAGAGTGCCAAATGCATCATGGGCTGCGACAGTATTGCAACCACCATATCTAGGATGGGGAAGGAGCCAACCACCCTAGGTCCGGAGGACCTAAAGGGGCATCGCTTCTCGGCCTTTTCCCTAAGATAAGACAGAAGGCCCCCCTAGAATTTTTTCTTTTTAGGTGGCCAAAAGAGAAGCACTCATCTCATTCGTTGATATGTCGAATGCTGCTGCTCCCAACCTTGTGGGAGAGCCACTAATTCAGGTGATTGGAGAAAGTGTAACGGAACCCAGTACCACACCCGAGTTGTTTACCCCCCCAAAAACTCTGGCCATCATTTTCAAGCTATATGGTGTGAATCGTGGAACGTGCGTGGGAACAACGTGAGGATCCGAAAAGATTTGTCGGTGTGTTTCTCGGTAGATACAGTGATAACTAGTCAGGACATCATTGTCGGTCTTGACAAGGCCGGAATTGACATTGACAGCATAACTGCAATTCAACGCCGAGCCAGTAACAACTCCTGGGTCGTTACGTTCGACTGTAAAGCTGTTAAAGATGCCGCCATGAACGAGCACTCAATCGACATTGCCGGCTGCTCTGTTCTCATAGGGGACTGTGAAAATCGAGTTTCCATCGTGAAGATTTATGAATTACCGGATGAGCTGCCTGACTCTGTCGTAATTGGCCGTCTGTCCCATTACAGCAGAGTTATTTCTTTTCGCAGCGACCACGTGGCCGACACCATCTTGAATGGCGTTCGTACCGCGCGAATGTTCATCGACCGGCCCATTCCCTCTCAAACGTTCATCGCTGGCGAGTTCGCCCGCCTCTGGTATCCTTCGCAGCCCAAGACGTGTTGGAAGTGCGGCTCGGAAGACCACCTAGCGGCTGTGTGCAAGTCACAGCGTTGCTACAATTGCCAGCGGCCCGGCCATCGCGCTGAGCAGTGCGACATGCCAGCGCTATGCCGCGTATGCCTTTCTGATGCCCACGATATTTCAGCTTGTCCTTTTGTTTACTATAGCTCAAACGTGACCGCTGCCAAACCTGACAGGCCTATTCAGAAGTCATATTCCGCCGCTGCTAAGAGTGGAAAATTCGCGGAGGATGCAAGGAAAGCTGAAGAAGAAACCAGCCGAGCCAAACGTGAGGAAGATGAACGCCTAAGACGCGAGGAACGCGCGCGGGAGAAGGAGAGAGATCGCAAGGAGAGGGAAAGAGATCGAAAGGAGAAAGAGGAGAAAGAGGAGAAAGACAGAAAGGAAAAGGAGTGAAGAGACCGAAAGGACAAGAAACGAAAAGAGAACAACCGGGAAGATAGGAGAGAAAGAAGGAAGCACGATAAATACCATGAGAGGAGACACAAAGATGGCGACGACCACAGAAGGGGTGAGAGGAGTGATCGCGAGCGGGATCGCGATCGCTTTCGCCCTTCTCGCGATCGCTCTTCTCATCGCCATTACGATTATAGTGAACGCGAGTCTGGTTCAGAGAGCGAAGGTTAAACACAGGTGTCCCATCGCAAGCGTAAGAGTAAGTCATATTAATTTATTTTAATTAACTACCTTCGCATATACCCCACTTAGAATTCTCACCATCAATGTTCGTGGATTTGGCACTACTTGTAAGCGCGATCTCCTTCGTCACGAGTTGAATGAAAATTTAGACTATGATTTTTTCCTCTTACAAAAGACATATTTCTTGTAAAACCCAAGCTGATTTAATTGAGAAATGTTTTAAAGGTCAATGTTTTTGGTCATTCGGGATCGGCAAATCTGCCGGCGTAGCTATTTTTGTTTCTCCTAAATTCTCAGGTAAGATTATTCGTTATGTCCACGACACTGATGGTAGAATTCTAAGCCTTCTTGTTGATTTTAATTCCTTTAAATTTAATATTGTTTGTCTATACGCTCCAAACACCGTGACCTACCGTAAATTATTTTTTAATCGTCTTCATACTTTCTTTCTGTCGCCTGGCGATTTAATCTTAGGCGGCGATTTCAATTGTATTGATTCTGAACTCGATCTCCTACATATTAAGTCGGACTTTAGTGCAGATAAGCGCTGCTCGTCGGCCCTAAGTCCGATTTCTGTCTTGTTGATATTTTTCGTAAGAGGAATCCAAAAGCGATCTCTTTTACCTGGTCTAATAAAGATTTTTCCCAAGCTTCTCGCCTCGATCGCTTTTTTATTTCTTCCCCTCTCCTTCAGTCAGTTCGCGGGAACAAATGTTTTCCTTCCCCTCTCTCCGATCACGACTTTGTCGATTTATTTCTTTCCCCCGTTAATGTTTCTTTTCACGAAAGCGGTGTTTGGAAATTTAACTGTCCTCTTCTGTCCGATGATGATTTTATTAGTACTATGACTTCTTTGATTACCGCTGAAAAAGAAAAAATCCCTGTGTTTACTTCGCTAGGAGCTTGGTGGGATAACTTGAAAATTCAGATCCATCGTACTTGTATTGATTTTCTTCTCGGAAACGTAAGAAACTTCTTTCCGAACGCAATTCTTTGACTAAACGCTTACTCAGAGCTAAATCGGCTGTCTTTGCCGGCGATCGCGATCAGATTTCTAACGTAAACAAGCTTGAGAGCGCCTTAGAGGCAGTCATTAATAACGAGTGCAAGGGCGCGAAAATCCGCTCGCGGGCGCGATGGATCGAGGAGGGCGAGAAGCCCACTCGTTTCTTCTTTCGCCTCGAGCGTAAACGCGCAGAAAAAAGTATTTTTGAGTCACTGTTCAATGAATCTGGCGAGGAAAAGTTTTCGCATGATGAGATTGAGCTTATTTTGGTCGACTTTTACAAAGCGCTATTCTCTAAGGATTCCCTTAACATGCAAATTCAGACCGAAATTATAGATGATCTTGACCTTTCTTTGTCTGATTCAGAATGCGAACAATGCGAGGGATTACTCACAAAAGAAGAGCTTTCTGCCGCTTTGAAAGGCCTTCCGACCGGTAAATCGCCTGGTTCTGATGGCCTTCCTGTTGAATTTTACTCGGCTTTCTGTGATTTACTGTGCAATCCTTTGCTTTCTGTCTTGAATGACTGTTTTTGGGCTGGCTCACTTTGTGCGAGCCAGCGCGAAGCCCTCTTGCGCCTTATTTATAAGAAAGATGATAAGCGCTTGGCCAAAAATTGGCGGCCTATATCACTTCTTAATTGTGATTACAAATTAGCTTCGAAAACAATTACTGACCGTCTGAAACAAGTTATGCCTTCAATCGTCCACTCTGACCAGACCTGTAGTGTAGTTAATAGATCCATCTTCTCTAATTTGCATTTAATCGGCGACACCTTAGATATGATAAACATAACGGACGAGACCGGAATTTTAGTCACGCTTGATCAGATGAAGGCCTTTGATAGAGTAGATCACGATTTCCTCATGAGAGTATTAAGTAAATTTGGTTTCGGTCCGTCCTTTTGTCATTGGGTTTCAATCTTTTATTCCGATGTCTTTTCGCGGATTATTTGTAATGGTAAACTTTCTACTCCTGTTTTCCTAGAGAGGGGGGTTAGACAGGGATGTCCTCTCTCCTCCCTTCTCTACGTTTTAACTTCTGAAGTTCTAGCTAATCAGATCCGTAAAAACCCTGCGATCGAAGGCTTCCTGCTCCCCGAAGCAGGTAGCCTTCAGTTTAAAATATCGCAGTATGCCGATGACACCACCAATTTCGGTAAGAACGAGAGATCTCTCTGTCACCTTCTAGAGACTGTTAAAAAGTACAAGAGGGGGTCTGGGGCCAAGCTCAACACCACCAAGTCCGAAGCAATGTGGCTTGGTAGGTGGAGAGCTAATGGCGCCTCCCCCTACGGCTTACAATGGGTTAATAAACTTAAGATTTTAGGAGTTTATTTTTCGAATGGATTAGTAAACGTTGATGAAGATAATTGGCGTTGTAAATTAGATAAGTTAAAGAGAACTTTAGGGCTGTGGTCGCAAAGAGATCTTTCTTTTCTAGGCAGAGGCATGATCCTAAACGTTCTCGGGACTAGTAAATTTTGGCTTGGAGCCAAAGTACTGCCCCCCCCCCCCAAAATGGGTTTCCACTGAATACAAGCGAGCTGTTTGGCCTTTCATCTGGAAATCAAAATCTGAAACTGTAAGCCGAGCGCGTTGCGTGGCCCCCATCGCGCAAGGGGGTGTCAACATTGTTGACTTTGAAACCAAGTGTTCGAGTTTGCGTTTGTCGAGTCTCTCTGGGTATCAGGAGGGATTCCGCACATGCAAATGGCACTTTTTAGCTCGTTACTTTTTCGGAAATCGCTTTACTAATCTTGATCCTATTTTTGATTTTTCTTCCCGCTCAATTCCTTTGTCTTCCGAGCCGTCTGCTTTTTACCGTAATTGCTTATCTTTGCTATCCTCTTTGCATAGTAAACACGGTTCTTTACCGGCTGACTTTTCTTGTAAAAACTTGTATAGTCTTCTACTAGACCTTCCGAGCGCCGCTCCGCGCTCCTCCGGTTTTTGGGCCGCTTCACTTAAGAGGCCGATGAACCGGTGGGCCGCGGTCTGGCGCAAGTCTCGCCTTAAGCTGATTGAGAATAAGAAAACCGATATACTTTGGCTGACAATTCACCGCGCAATTAAAGTTCGATACGCATTGAAAACTTGGGGATACAAACTTAAATCTGATAAGTGTGCTTTGTGTTCCCAAGTTGAAACAATTGAGCATTGTTTTCTTTTTGCTCTCGCGTGCGCGCTGTGTGGAGGTACTTTACGCCTTATCTGTCTCGCCTCCCTACTTCCCCTTTCTCTGTTAACTCTCCTTGTATTTTCTTCCCTTTCTCGTCTCACGCTTCTTCGCCTTCTTTTTCGCTCTACTGTTACTTGATTGCTACTGTTTTATTTTGGATTTGGCAAACTAGGAACCTTGCGACTTTCGGAATTCTGTTTTAAATGCTGATCAAATCGTCAACCTGATTAAGAAGGATATCTCCTGCCGCATTTTATGTGCAAAACAAGATGAAAACGAAAATTTTTGGTCTACTGGTAGCATTCTCTGTAAAATTTCTGATACTCGCTCTCTTTATTTTTTCCCTTACTGTTCATAAGCCTTTGTATATAGCCGCTTTTAATTTTAGTTCGCTTTATTTAGCTGCTCCTAGATATTTCTGTACATAGCCGCTTTAAATTTAGTCTGCTCTTTTTTGCCTATTAACATTTAGTTGAACGCCTGTAAATATTTTCTGTATATAGCCGCCTTAGTTTATTTAATTTGCTTGTAAATATTTCTTAGAATCTTGTATATAGGCGCTCTAGTCAACTTAACTTAACTTCATTTCCATTATTTCCCGGAAGCCGCGCTAACATTTCCTGGAATCTTGCATATCGCCGCCTTAATTAACTTAATTTGAATGAATTCCCGGGAACCTTGTAGATAATTCCCGGAAATCTTGTAAATAGCTAGTGTTCATTTTGTTTCTTTTTCTTCGATTTTCTCTCTTTGTAAATACGGTGGATTTGGTTTTTAAATAAAACACCCCTGCGGGGGTTTTTATATTCTTAAAAAAAAAAAAAAAAAAGTAAGGAGAGTATCCCGTCCTTGGTGGCGTTTTTTTTGAAGTTAGCTTAGGTTGTTTTTGTGTGAACAAGTGCTAAGTACCTGCCGGGAGGGAACGCCAAAGTTCACTGTTTAGTGTTTCTTACCCTCTCGGTGGGTCCGTTTTTTGCCTGTTTTCGTGGCGCGCCCAGCCTTTTTGGTTCCCTGTGGATCAGGCCTTAACTTGGGCTTTTTCCGCTTGTGTCATGTCTGCTGTGGTCCAGTGCCCGCGCACGTTGGCTGTGCATTTTCCGCCAACCATTTATCGTTCCACTGGTTCGGCTCAAGTCCTGCCTGATCTTATCAAGTGCTTGGACATTGCTAATGTTCAATGTATCCAGTTCGTGCCCAATGGGATCATTCGTGTTACGTTCAAGGAGTCTGCCCAGTGTGATGCGGCCCCCTCTAGTGGTGTCTCCTTCCGTGGCTCTAAGCTTCGTGTTGCTCCTGTTGATGCCCGGACTCCTCTGGTTTATGTCCGTGACCTACCTGCGGAAGTGCCGGATGAGCCTGTCAGTGTTTTCCTCCGTCAGTATGGAGTTGTCGACTCCCTGTCGCCTCGTTTCCATCCTGGCTTGCCTGGTGTTACCAACGGTATTCGTGTGGCCAAGGTCACTCTCCTGAAAGATCTGCCGTCATCAGTTCGCATTGCTGGGTTTGATGTTCGCTTGTGGTATCAGGGCCAGCCTCAGTCCTGCCCTGTCTGTCGTCAATTTGGTCACCGCGTTCGTGATTGACCGCTGAACGGTTTGTGCCGTCGATGTAGTCAGGCTGGTCATATGGCGCGCGAGTGTTCTTCTCGCCGTCTGTCTGCTACTGTTGTTCCTGCTCCTGCTTCTGGTGTCGACCCTCTTATGTCCGTTGCTGATGAGGAGGAAGACCTGGCCTATGTTTGTTCGTCTGCCTCGGAGCCTGGCGACTGCTCTGGTGATTAGGAAGTTGTTCGTGGCGCTTCTCTGGTCGAGTTGGCCTCACGCATGCGGAAGCGTGCAGTGTCTGAGACTTTCGTCGATGTCTCTGCGGAGATTGAGTCTAGTGACTTAAGTTATTTTAGCCAGTCTTCACTTGGTGGGAGTCAGTCGTCCCTCTCCTCCGCTGTTGAGCCGTCTGATCCTACTGTTTCCGAGTCTGCTCCTGCTGTTCCTGAGTCTGATCCTGTTCCTCGTTCATTACCTCCTCCTCAGAAGAAGAAGAGGTTTGTCGACCTGCCGCCCTCTGGTTTTTCCCCTGAGCAGGTGGCCGATGCTCTCGTTCGTCCTTACAGTGGTATCCTCCCCAGGACCTCCTACGCTCATGTGTGCCCTAATGCTGTTAAGCCGGATGTTCCGGTAGTTATGGACTTTGGTTACCTGACTCGTTCCGTTCTTGCCGATTATTGTACTTTTGAACTTGACAGATTTGTTAAATATGTTCATCGCAAGTTTTCCAGAGTTGTCGCTAGTCCTGTTTTTGCTTTGAAGGTTGCTGTGTCTGAGGAGTCCCTGCCCGCTGGTACTCCTTCTAAGTTTCCTGATCAGTAGTTTTGCTTTCTATTTTGCTTGTATATTGCTTAGAGTGACATTGCCTTTTTTCTGCTTTTTGCTTGTATATTGCTTAGAGACATTGACATTGACGTTTTTTCATTTTTGCTTGTATATTGCTTAGTTAGTGCCTTCCGCGTTTTTTAGCTTGTCTTTCTGTGCTGTTTTGCCTTGTGGTTGTTCTGTCTTGTATCGTGTTTGTGTAAGGGGAAGCGGGGTTCGTTCCCCCGGCGAAGTTGGCGTGCTTGTGCACCCTTCCTTGGGCGAGTGTGTTTAGGCTTTGTGTGTTATAGTGTTAATGGTGGCTCAGCATTGCACTCAGCTGGGTTCACTAGCCCTAAAACAAAAAAACTTACCTGACGCGGGAGGCACTGTGATCAAGGAGGCAGTCCTCTCAAGGTGAGGCCCTCTCATTGCACTTCGCTTGGGTTGACCCTTGCGATTACCCCAAATGTGGGTAACTCGAAAAATAATTTCTGGTACTGGGTACCTGCGTTCCCGCTACTCCCCGGTTTTGTAGTAATTACTGTATTTAGCGCGGTCCACGGGTTATTTAAAAACGTGCGCGCCAATGATCCGATTGGTAACGTGCGCGCGTGTGATTGTTTCTCATACAGGTGATGGATCGATCAATAAATCACGGAGAGAGAGAGAGTGCGGAAAGAAGTCTCCGGGGACCAAGAAAGAAGGTAAATGATCTTGGAATATGTTGAAGTTGATTTGTAGCTAAGCTAGCATGTTATTTAAGAAGGAGCTCGCTCAGTAGAGCAGAGTAGAGACTGAAACGTTTTACTCTCCCAAAGGAAAGGTGAAGTGAAAGTCGCAAGAGATTTATGTATGTTCAAGAAAGAGGATGGTCGACGGTTGAAAAGCAAGCAAGCAAGCAAGCAGGATTATAAACATCGTCTATACCGTGAGTACAGCTTTGAATCAGTACTTGTTTGCTTGTATATATTTAACTCGCCCTTCCTCTTGTTGGTCTTTACTGCAAGGCGCTGGTTTCGGTAGTTCATTTAAACTGTCGACCGTTAATAACAACTACTAACGAACTCGGTCTTGTGTTGTCGATCGAGGGCAAGTTGTATATGGCCTTTTGGCTTCTTTGTCTGGCGTTCGCGGCCGTTTTCTCGGCCTGTAGTTGCACTTAAAGGGGAACGTAGACTTGTGGAAGCTGTGATTTGAAAAAAGTGATGTCACAAGCGGTGATTTGAAGTCACAGAGCAAAATGGAACATTACCGCGCGCTCTCGAACCAACGCACGTTCTATGTCCAAGCTATATTATTGTGAAAAAAAATTACCCCACAACTTGATTGCTTCGAAGAATAATTCGGCGTAACTTGGGAACTGACAGCAGAGGTACATTCCAGCTAGGGGTAAAACAGCAAAAATGATGAAACTAACCCCGCCTGACAGGGCTTAACTTCGGTGATCAGACGAGAACCGGTGTTCTCCCTGTGGTATGGTCGTAGGCGAGAGAAAGGAGAGAAAATTTGACTTCTTATACCGAGTATGGTGAACATGTAAGCGAGGCGTTACTTCATTATCCTCCTCAGGCAACCCTGACCTACAAAACAGGCTATGAAGTCTTCCTTTGTAGCTCTAAATAAATTTATGCGGCCACTTACACGGAGCTTAGCGGGCTTTAAAAACCCTTTGGGACCTACTAAGCGGTCCCAGTGTGCCTCGTTTTCGTGTTCCCTGTCCTCCTATAGGTTAATGGCCGAGCTGTTAGGGCCTGGGTACCGTGTAGACGCTATTTGATCCCTGTCTATACACACTGTAGTGTCCTGAAGAGCTTGTCCGAGTATCTGTGCTGGGACTAAGCCAATGATATCTCCCTGTCCTCGCATAGAGTGCCAGATGCATCATGGGATGCGACAGTATTGCAACCACCATATCTAGGATGGGGAAGGAGCCAACCATCCTAGGTCCGGAGGACCTATGGGGGCATCGCTTCTCGGCCTTTAGACTAAGATAAGTCGGAAGGCCCCCCTGGATTTTTTAGGCGGTAAAAGAGAAGCACCTGTCTCGACCTACGAGATGTCTCTTTTGAGTGCTTCTACAATTGTGGGAGAGCCATTGATCCAGGAGATTAACAGTGATGGTACTACTGCGACGCCCGAATTGTTTTCAAGACCTTCTACGAGTCCCCCCCGGATAATTCTGATCATGCCCCCCGGAGTTGCCGGATATTATGCAAGCCTTGCAACATGCCGGACAGAAGTTTCAGACCGTTTCGTTTAATTCCTGGAAATTTGCTGGGTCTCAAGCCCGTATAAAGAAGGAGTCATTACAAGCCAGGACATTGTGGTCTTTTTCGACAAGGCTGGAATTGATATTGACAATATTGTTTCGATTCAACGGAAGGCAAGCAACAACACGTGGATTGTCAGTTTCAGTTCTTAAGTCGCCAGGGATGCCGCTCTTAACAAACCAAACGTCAAGATTGCGGTATGTATGGTCTTCCTCGGTGACTGTGAGAATCATGTTTCCATTGTGAAGGTGTACGAGCTCCCTGTCGAGCTACCCGATTCCGTTGTTATGGGCCGCCTTTCTTATTACGGAAAGGTTTACTCTTTCCGACGCGACTGACTCACGGAGGGTATCTTCAATGGCGTTCGTACGGCTCGAATGATTATTGATAAGCCCATCCCTTCCCAAGCCTTTATTGCAGGAGAATTTGCGAGAATTTGGTACCCCTCTCTACCGAAGACCTGTAGAAAGTGTGGTGCAGAAGGTCATTTAGCGGCGGCTTGTTCTTCGCAACGGTGCTTTAATTGCGAGGAACCTGGGCATCGATCCAATGAATGCCCGCTACTGCCTCTCCGTAGAGTTTGCCTCGCGGAAACACACTCAACTACACGCTGTCCTTTTATTTATTACAGCTCCAACATTTCTATGGTTGGAAGCAACAGCTCTCAGTTACGCCAAAGCAGCAGAAAAAGGAAAAGAAGCCGATGTAGCCAAACGAGCGGAGGAAAACGCACGTGGTGAGCGCGCAAGACGCGAGGAGCGCGCGAAGAAAGAAGAACTCGACCGCGCGTGGAAGGAACGCGAGGAATCTGACCGGAGAAAGAGGGAGTAGAAGGAACGCAAGGCGAGTCAGCGGGACTATCAGGACTACGAGTGCAGAAGCGACGGCAGGCGTGATGAGAGACGGGACGGCAAACGAGGAGAACGACGAGAGGACAAAAGAGAGGACAAGAAGAGGGAGGAGAGGGGTGATTGTGAGCGTGAGCGCGATCGCGATCGTGACCGCTCTACTCTTTGGTCCCAGTCTGCCTCGTTTTCGTGTTCCCTGTCCTCCTATAGGTTACTGGCCGAGCTGTTATGGCGTGGGTGCCGTATAGACGCTATTTGATCCCTGTCTATACACACTGTAGTGTCCTGGGGAGCTTGGCCGAGTATCCGTGCTCGGACTGAGCCAATGATATCTCCCTGTCCTCGCAAAGAGTGCCAGATGCATCATGGGATGCGACAGTACTGCAACCACCATATCTAGGATGGGGAAGGAGCCAACCACCGTAGGTCCGGAGGACCTAAAGGGGCATCGCTTCTCGGCCTTTGAATAAGCGTTCTCTTACTTGTGGGACGTTCAAATGCTCAGTTTTAGTGAGTTTGGCTTTTTTCTTGTTTCTTTGTGGGGGCTGTGCTAAGTACCGGCCGGGCGGGAACGCCGTGCCCCCCACCCCAAATTTATGATTAAAGCGATTCTTTAAGACGACTTGGGTCGTTTTCCACGATGTTGGAACCCAATGCTGATTGGAGCGAAGTTTTCGACCATGGTGGCGAAGTAGCAAGCGTTGGTGGCGAAGTATCAAGGGATGGTAGCGAAGTGTCAAGAGATGGTAGCGAAGTGGCAAGAGATAGTGGCGAAGCGTCTGATGAGGAAATCTCCAGTAATGAGTCCAGCGATGAGTCTGATGGTTTAGTAACGGTCTCCGAACGTCGTAGTGAGTCCGATCGTGACGTACCGAGAATTAGTGCCCTGTACAGCTCGGCTATTAAGAAGAACCTGCCTGCGGAGGAAGCTCCTGAAAAAATGTGTTACCATCCCAGTTACCTCTCCGAGGTTGAGAAGGAACATTTCAACACAGAGAACGTGATGCCGGATCGGCCATATACTGCGTTTTTTAGTGCCCCGTCATCGTCTTTCACCGCCAAAGACATCTTTGACGCCCTACTTACGGGTGGTATCCCAGCCTCTGCTGTCCGCTGCTTACAACAGTCGCCCAATGGCAATGTCTTGATTACTTTTGCGTGACAGAAGTAACGCGATCTTTTCCTGCGTCGTTCCTCTTTTATCGTTCGCCGAAGCCACTTTGTCACTCATCCTGGCTCACACCGTCTTCTGTTTGTTACTGTCTATGATGCGCCGCACGAGTTGCCGGATTCAGTGCTCGAACATTGCTTGAGCCGTTATGGCCGGATCTTCTCTACACATCGCGGCACGGTGCCGGGTTACCCTGATGTCTTCAACGGGTTGCATCACTTACGCATGGAACTGAAGTCTCACATCCCCTGTTTTCTGCGTTTCAGAAAGTATCAGGTTCGGGTGAAATACAATGGCCAACCAACTACCTGCCGTCGTTGTAATTCGGGTGACCACCTCTACGAAGATTGCAACAACTCCATCTGCTTTAACTGTGATCAAGTCGGGCATCATTCGAGAATGTGTCCCGAAGACATCAAGTGTTGTATTTGCAAGGAGGAAGGCCACATGGCCATCGATTGCCAGCACTCTTGGTATCGCCGTCCCCCGCCTTCTGGGGCTCTGTCTCCGTCGAATCCTGAGGATTCTGTTCCCCCCCAGTGGAACGTCCTGCTCAAGCCGCTGAGACTCAGGATACAAGTGCTCTTCAAGCTGACCTTGCCGATCCTTCGAGCCAGCCTGGCTCTTCTGATGTACGGGTTCTGGACTCAAAAGGTACCCTTATCTCCGCGGATTCTGCTGCTGCTGAACCGCCTGCAGCGTTTTCGCCTTCAGTTAGTGTTCCTCTCTTCTCGGGTGACCAACCCTCCCCGACTCCCGCGTCTGCCGTGACTTCAGTTTCGGATAGCGTTCTGGCTCAACTAGATGTCCCCTCACCCTCCGATGTTCCTCCTTTGGATCTAACCCAACCTGATGAGAATAGTGATGATGATGAGATGGGGGATTCTGTTGCCCCTTTAGAAGCTGAGAAGCTAGCAACAGCCTGGAAGAGAGTATCCCGTGAGAAGGGTCAGCGTAGGAAGAACCTGGCCCGAAAGGCTACAAACTCCCATTCCTTTGCTCCTGTGCGTGAGGCGACCAGACCCAACCCGCCAGGAGTGAGGCCTAATAGAGGTAAGGACCCGCCTGAGTAACCTTTTTCCATTTTCAAAGGTCTAACGATTAATGTTCGTGGCTTGAGTGATGAAACGTTTTCGTCAAGAGAGTTTAGTTTTCTGTTTTATTCAAGAAACGATGATCTCAGATAAACAAGTTATTAATTCCCTTTCTTCCCGTTGGCGGGGCCCCAGTTTTTGGTCTCCAGCTGTCGGGAGGAGAGGTGGCGTGGCTATTTTGCTTTCAAGTAGTTAACAAGATCATCTCTCTGTTTGGAAAACGGATACTGAAGGTCGGGTCATTAGTGTATTACTTAATATTGATTCCCAGTCTATTAATTTAGTTAACTTGTATGCTCCAACTGTACCGGCTGATAGAAGAGTCTTCTACCAGTCGGTCCATTTGTATTTCTTTCCGCTCTCCTCGCTCATAGTTGGCGGTGATTTCAACTGTTATAACGGTTCCTCTGATAAGTTTGGTGGCTCCGTCTCTATTAGTTCTGATTTGTCTGACCTTAAATCGTGTTTTTTGTTAAGGGATGCGTGGAGACCGTTACATCCCAGAACCCGCCAGTTTACTTGGTTTAATTTAGATTCTTCAGTAGCTAGTCGTTTAGACACTTTTCTTGTCGCAAGGTCCCTCCTTTCATCAGTTAAGTCGTGTGTTATTTCTCCTTGTGTTTTCGCAGATCATGAGTTTGTTTTTATTGACTTAGGTTCTTGATGTTTCTTCTAAGTATGGTCCTGGAGTGTGGAAACTGAATAATTCTCTTTTAGAGGACGAATCTCATTGTGAGGAGATTCGTTCTCTTATTGACCGCTTTTTATTATTTAAGCATGCTTTTTCTTCTTCTGGCTCCTTTTGGGAATCTCTTAAGAATGATACTAAAGTTGAATCTATTGCCTTTTCAAAGCAGAAGCGAAGAGACCTCTCTGACAAGAGAGTCTCTTTAACCAACCGCTTGATCGCCTTGAAGCGCCGATTAGTGTCTGGTGATCCTTCTGTTCAGTCAGAAATTAAGGACTTAGAGGGCTCCCTTAAAGGGTTAATGACAGAGGAATATGTTGGCGCGAAAATTAGAAGTCGAGCAAAATGGCTAGAAGAGCGCGAGGCCCCTACCAAGTTTTTTCTTAAATTAGCATCCCAAAGATTTGAGAAGAGTTTTGTTTCCTCTGTCCTTAATTCTGATGGTGTTGAGGTATCTACTTTGCCCGAAATAATGAAAGTTCATGAAGATTTTTATTCACCTCTCTTTGCTGAGGAGTCTGTTGACTTAGAAACACAAGATCATTTGTTTTTGTTTGTTTCGAGTCGTTGGTGTGATCATGACCGTGATGTTTGCGAGGGGGCTTTGTTGCTGGACGAAGCTACTGAAGCTGTTGGCTTGTCCAATCGCAACAAGGCCCCCGGCCCTGATGGCTTGTCAGTAGAATTTTATTTAACCTTCTGGTCGCGCCTCGGCCCACTCTTAGTGGAAGTTTTCAATGAGGGCCTGCTTGAGTCGGAACTTTGTGATTCTATGAAAACTAGCATTACTCGCTTAGTTTATAAGAAGGACGACCGGAGAAATTTGAAAAACTGGCGTCCAATATCTCTTTTAAATCTCGACTATAAGATATGTTCGAAGGCTATCTCCTTGCGACTTTCTAAGGTTTTAGACTCCCTATTTGACCCGGACCAGACTTGTTCTGTTCCTGGGAGATCCATTGCTTCCAATTTGTTCTTATTGCGCGACGTTTTAGATCACATTGAGCGGACTGGCGAGACGGGCATTCTCGTTAGCTTACACCAGAAGAAAGCTTTCGATCGTGTCGATCGGACTTTCCTTCTGAATCTTTTAAGACATCTAGGTTTCGGTCCTTCCTTTTTAAATTGCATTCACACCCGTATAATGGCGCTAATATGCGAGTGATTGTAAACGGCTTTCTTTCTGATATGATACCTATTGCGCGTGGTGTTAGGCACGGCGACTCCCTTTCACCAATGCTCTATATCTTGTGTGTTGAAGTTCTTGCATGCAAGATTAGAGCCTGTAGTGATATCAAAGGTTTTTTGCTCCCGGGCGCTCAGGGCTTGCAGTTTAAAGTTGGTCAGTATGCCGATGACACAACGTCCTTTGTTAAGGATGTTGTGTCTCTTAATAATCTTTTTAGGGAGATCCAGTTATACGAGCGCCGTACGGGAGCTAAATTGAATATTTCAAACACAGAGGCCATGTGGCTGGGGTCTTGGAAAGACCGCGTTGACCAGCCACTTGGCCTCAAGTGGGTTAATAAAATGAAAAGTTTGGGGGTTGTTTTTGGTACGGTCCCAGTTGAGAGAGAACTGGGAACTGCGTCCGTCTAAACTTGATAGCTGTTTGTCTTTGTGGAAGTCTAGGTCGTTGTCGTTTGTTGGTAAAGTGTTGATTCTTAATGTTTTAGGTCGGAAGCTTTTGTACTTGTCACGTGTTTTAATTCCCCCAAGATGGGTGCTTGACAGGTATAATAGCTTGATCTGGCCTTTTTTATGGGGTGCCAAATTGGAACCTGTTGCTCGAAGGTCAATTGTGTGCTCTCCGGACCAGGGGGGCCTTGGTTTAATAGACTTCTGGTCTAAAGGACAGGCGTTGCGCTTATCTTCCTTTGTTAAATCTCTACCTGATCCTAGTTTAAAGTGTTTTTATCTCGTTCGGTATTTCTGCGGTTCGCGTCTGGCGACCCTACGCCCTGAGTGGTCTACGCTGCGGGATATTCGTACACCTAATGCGGCTTCGCCTTCCAAATTTTATTCACTCACGATTGATCTTCTTAAGTCTTGCAGTTTCCCTGGGTCCTTTGCATTTGACTCCAAGTCTATTTATAAGGAAATAATTAAGCGTCATTGTTCCCTCCCTGTCCTCCGCAGGTTTTGGTCCCCCTTACTAAGTAGATCCTTTAGTCTTCCTCGCCATTGGTCTTTTGTGAGAGATTCTTTCACTGAAAATTATAAAAGCGATCTTTCGTGCCTCATCACTTTGAGCGCAGTTAAGGTCCGTGAGTCTCTGCGGAACTGGGGCTACATTGATAACCCATCGTGTGCGACATGTTCGCAAACAGAATCTATCGATCACTGTTTTCGAGCGTGTCCCAGGGTTAACGCTGTGTGGTTCTTTTTCCTCCCCTTGTTGTCTTCCCTTTTATCGCAACCCTTCCCCCTTTGCAGTGCTTCCATTTTCTTTTTTCAGTTACCTTTCCCGAATGATAAATCACGGCGTTTGCTTCTGTTTTTAATCAAGTCGATTTTGTATGGTATTTGGCGCTTTAGGAACAAGGCAGTTTTCCATAATGGTAGGGAAGACTCCAGGGCAAACACTAAGTATATTATTATAGATATTAAAAATAGAATTAAAGCTGATCGTTTTAGATTCTCCCCTAGCAAATTTCGCTCTTTGTGGTGCCACCCGGCACTCTGTGATTTCCACCAGGACGATAACTTAGTGTTTAAGTTTTAACTTTAGTAATATGATCACTCTAACTTCCTCAGTCCTTTCTTTAGTTTGTAAGTGGCAATTTGTTTGTTGATTTCCTGTAAATACTGTAAATATTGTACATAGCTTGTTTTGCAATAAATTTTCCAAATACAAAAATCTGTTCTTATCAGCTTAATATCTGATACGCTGCTCATTGAGCAGCTCATAGCGGTGCTCCACGCGCGCGCTTCGCGCCCGCGCGTGAACGGAGCCCCATAGCTAAGGAAATGTGGTAATCTACCCATCCAAGAAAATTTGGTAATCACGTGACCGTACGACCGTCCGTCCGCACCACAGGGAAACCAATGTTTACTCTCACACTTTCTAGCTAGTTTGGGAGCCAAATAGAAAACTATTCTCAGCGGTCCTACCTCGCGCGTATAAAAGGCAGAGTAGACAAAGGAGTTATGCCATTCTCTCGAAGCTGCTGAGCTGTTCAGATTACCATGGCTGACCCGCAGGTCCCTGCAGATGCAGTCCAACAAGCTCAAGTTGTCTTACAAAACCAAGCACAAGAAGGTTGAGCACCGGCGGCGTTAGCAGAACAAGCTCAAGCACCAGTAGCGCCAGAGGAACAAGCTCAACCGCCTGCACAAGCGCCAGTGCAAGCAAACGAAGTTTCTTTGGAGGTTTGTGAAACTTTATTTTATCCGTTCGTTGCCACGTGTTTCGTTCTGGTTCTGTAGTATTTCGCTTCCAAACCTTGTAGGTTGTTTACCCTACGCGAGCTGTTTTTCATTTCCACTTAGTATATTATTTGCCCTGCTTCTTAACATTTGCCCACTTTTCTACGGGCTGTGCGGGCTAAATTTTGTTGGATATATTATTCGCCCTGCTTCTTAACGTTTGCCCTCGTTTCGTATGGGCTGTGCGGGCTAAATTTTGTCTCATATATTATATGCCCGGCTTTTAACGTTTGCCCTCGTTTCGTGTGGGCTGTGCGGGCCAAATTTTGTCTGATATATTATTTGCCCTGCTCTTAACTTTTGCCCTCGTTTCGTGTGGGCTGTGCGGGCTACATTTTGTTTGATAAATTATTCACCCTGCTTTTAACGTTTGCCCTCATTTTATGTGGGCTGTGCGGGCTAAATTTTTATTTGTATATTCGTTCTGCTTCTAAAAGTTTACCTTCGTTTCATGTGGGCTAGTGCGGCATATAATTTTGTTTTGTTTACCATGTTACACTGTATTTAAATTGCTTTTAAAGTTTACCCTCGTTTTGTGTGAGCTCAGTGGGCTAAATCTTGTTTTGCATATTATTTGCCCTGCTTTTAACGTTTGCCCTCTTTACGAGTGGGCTGTGCGGGCTAAAACTTTGTTTTGTAAAATATTCGCCCTGCTTTTAACGTTTGCCCTCGTTTCGTGTGAGCTGTGCGAGCCGTATTTTGTTTTGTATATTATTCGCCGTTATAAACTATTTGCACCTTTATGTGGGCCTCGCGGGCTATAATTTTGTTTGGTTTGTTTTTCGCCCTAATTCTCAACCTTTGCCCTCTTTTCACGTGGGCTTCGCGGGCAATTCTGAATTCGTATGCTTGTTTTTGGTTAAACCCCCTTTTACTTTTGCTCCGCCTACAGTTCGTTTAGTTGTTGCACCTCCTTGTTTGCCCTTTTGTTTTATTCATTTGCGTATTTACCGCTCGATTACACCGGCAGTCCCACTGGGGCTAGTTTATTTTGCCTGTTCTATTTAATTTTGTTTGCTTTTTCTCTCCCAATCTTTTATTATAAAAGCTGTTTATTTATTATTGCCTTGAATTTATTCTTGGATTTTATTATCGATGTTTTGTCGCTTTTAGGGCTTAGTTTTGACTGCCCATTTTTCTTTTTTTAGGCTTTACAACAGCGTATTAAAGCTCTCGAAAGTGCCCAAGGCACCTCAGTCGAGTCATTGATACAGAGAATTTCATATTATGATGGCAGAAGAGTTGAGGACTTCGACAAGAACGAAGCACTTCGTTACGCCGAAGAATTAGCTTCTGTTGCAAAGTCCTCCAGTCACCCCAAGGCAGCCAGCTATGATGTTATCGCTTCGACTTTGAGAGAGAAGCTCCACGTCCCAGCTGAGCAGTTCAAGTCGTATTTCCTTGCTTTGTTAGCTGACAAGGATTTTTCCCGTGTTATCGAAATGATCTCGAAGGTTGACAGGTCTTTCCAGCGGTCCACACCATTTCGCACACAGACGTGTAGAGGAAGTTTGCCATATCGGCAATCGTATTTTCAAGCCTATCAGCGGCCACCCTCTCGCATTATTTGTTACAAATGTGGTGAACCAGGGCATAAGTCACCCCAGTGTTGGAAGCGCCCTCCTTCTTGTCAGCCTTCTTCTGCTGCTCAGCCTCGATTTAACCATCCTTCAACATAATTTAGTTGTATCATCTTATGCAATTAAGATTTTCCTTTAGGCGAATAGTGCATTGTTTTTACTTTCCTTATGTTTCCTTTATTTTTTTTTGTTATTCGGGTTACCGTCTTTAATCCTTCACCCTTTTATCCCTTAATACTGACTTTTGTTTTTATATATTTTATTTTGCCCACTCGCTATAGTGTTCTCCTTTCGCTGTATTGTTGTCCTCTCGCTATATTGTTCTCGCTTCTCTTTCTTCTTCCCTCGGGTGGCATTCTCAAGGGGAACGAATGTTCCCTCTTGGATTACCGGGGCTGAGTTTGCCATTCCCTGGGCCTTACCTATTCTTTCTTCTGTTCTAGTTTTTCAAGATGCCTTTTCATGACTGGGAAAAGACTCCCAACTTTGATCCTGCCAAGATTTCTGTTAACTCGCCACGTTGGGTCAATTATAAGGGATCTCTTCTTACTGAGGCCCAGGAAATGGCAGACAACGCCCATATTAGTCAAGATTTCATCTCAGTTATCGCGGGGGAAGCGTTTGCCGACGCCTCCCTTTTGGCCTTCCGTGACTCAAGTTCCTTTAGAGCGGGTGAACTCCATCGCCATATGATCAATGGGACAAGTTATTTCAATCGTCTGATAACAATTTCTCTGAAGTACTGGACTGAATTCCTAACTTTATCCACGTTGACAAGTTTTTTACCCATTATAAAGGAAGCTATAAGGGAGTCAATTATAACTGCGAAAGACCGCCTGCTCGCATTTTTGCTAATCATCCTTCTTGTAAGGCGTTTGCCCAGTGTATTTCTGATACTCTTATCGAGAGATTAGCTTCAGGCGCCATCTCCCTCTGGGGCAAGGTAGGGGAATGTCCACCTCCACACCTGGTCATGCCGCTTACAGTAGAACCTACCAAACCACTCCTTTGTAATAACGACAGATTTCTCAACCTTTGGACTCAAGACAGCCCTTTTAAATTGGACAGTGTTCAGCACTTACCCAAGTATGATCTCCCTGGCTTCTTTGAAACTGTCTGCGATGACAAATGCAGTTACGACCATATCCAACTCTCAGTGGACAGCCGGACTTTTTTTTGGATTCGAGTGGGGCGGATGGTTTTTTGTCAGTTGTTGTATTCCATTTGGTTGGAAATCGTCCGCCTACATTTATCACTCCACTGGCCTCCTTGCCTCTCATTATCTACAGTCGCTTGGCATTCCATCTTCGTTGTACATCGACGACCGTCACAGTAGTCAGCTTTCTTTCCCTAATGGTTGTCTTCCGGTTGCTTATCAACATTTGTCCTCCCAGGATAGCATTAATTTGGCTTTAGCCAACGCTGCTATCTTTCTTACGTGTTTTATCGTTTCCTCCCTCGGTTATTTTATTGGTTTGGATAAATCGACTTTGGTACCTTGCAAGCAAGTCCCTTACTTGGGTTTTATTTCCGATTCTGAGAAACAGGCCTTCATTTTATTGCCTCACAAGAAGAAAAAGTTTCTTACTCTTCTCAAGCAGGCTCTTAGTTCAGAATCCAACGACCTGGTTACTCTCCAAAGGTTAGGAGGGAAGTGCATTTCAATGGTTCTGGCCGTGCCAGGTGCAAGGCTTTATACAAACGAAATTAACTTGGCCCTTTCTCGTGCTGTGTGCTCATCTCGACCGGTCAAACTATCCGGGTCCTTGAGACAGGAGTTGGAGCATTGGCTCTTTTCGGAAACCTGGAACGGCTTCCTTCCTTGGCGTTCCGAGAAACACTGCCATTTTCGTTTGTTCTCGGATTCTTCCTCTTTTGCTTGGGGAGGTGTATTGAGTCCGGGTGCCATTACTGTTAGCACTTCCGACTACTGGGATTCTTCTGTTATTGGGGCCGACATTGCTACCAAGGAAACTCTTGCCCTCAACAATGCCTTACAATCTTTTGGGAATACGGTAAGAAGCTCATGGGTGGATGCATTTGTTGACAGTCAGGTTTTGCTTCACTCTTGGAACAGGCGTGGTTCCCGTTCCCACTCTTTGGTGACCGCTCTTAAGTGCTTGTTTCAAACTACCATGCATCTTAATGTTGATCTGCATGTCTACTATGTTCCTGGCCCTGAGAACCCTGTGGATTCTCCCTCCCGTAGGCTAAGCTTTCAGGACTCTAGACTTGGTCCAAAAACGTGGGATTTGGTACAAAGTCTGTATGGCGGTCCTAAAGGTCACTCCGTTGATCTTATGGCACAAGCTTCAAATGTCCAAAACTGACCTATGTGGCAAACCTCTACCATTTCTTTCTGAAAGTCCCTTAGTTAATGCTTTGGGGGTTAATGTGTTTGCACAATCCCCTAACTTGTATCGACCTGAGATTTTTTCAAATCCTTACGTTTTCCCGCCCATTTGCCTTATTCCCAAGGTCTTTAGGTATCTTAATAGCCTTGAGTTGCCATACACCCTTGTTGTCCCAGACGTGATCCCACGTCGTTTTTGGTGGCCTTTGCTTCTGTCTGCATGCTCTTCCAGCTCCTTGCTAGCCTCTAAAGGGGCTAGTGGCGTTCTTCTCACCCCTTCCAGGGATGGTATCTTGGGTGACAGGCCGATCCCCTGGGACCTTTGGGTTTTCCGGATTTCAAATAATTAGACTCGCAGCATTTCATACTGTTTAAGGATTATCAAGCAAGCAAATCCATTTTGCTGTTGCATTTGATGTGTTTCTGTCATTAAGATGTAATTTCAATAAAGTCATCGAGTCTTGTACTTTTCGTCTCTCCTTGATTTTATTTAGTTATTTTCAACTATATTTGGTATTTATTCTCATTTAGTCTTTCATCTGTCTTCCCTATTAGGATCTCCCACAAGTACAGCGGTTTTTTATCCCTGCTGTAGCTTGCCCTTCATGTGCTTATGCCAACGACCATTTGTTTCGTTTTTGCCAAATGTGTGGCTACAAAAGACAGTCAGTCCCACGTCAGCCTGCCTTGAAAATAAAAGTGGATCCAGCCAACCCGTCTTCGTATTCAAAGCAAGAATCCTCTTTGCGCGTGGAGTTTGAAACCTTTTTAGCCTCTTTGCCTAATACAAAGTCTATCTATTCCGCCACCCCCGAAGATGTTTCGCGTTTTCTGATTTGGAAAGATCGTCACAGGAAAAGGGTTGTCCATGTAGCTGAATGTGTAAATGCCCCAAACCAAGATGCTTCTGATTGCAGTTGCCCATAAGCGACTCGCGTTTAAAACTGTGGATTCCTATACTGGAAAACCTCGTGCAATATTTAACGAGGCCGGCCGTTTTGGCGAATGGAATAGTATCCTAGGTTTTGGTAATCCTGCTGCTTCTTCTCCAGTCCATGGTTATCTTAAGGCTGTATCTGAGGAACAATTGCGTCCTCATATCGTCCCGAAGCAAGCAGTCCCGTTTTTTCTAACGAAGCTCTTACTTCTGGCAAGGTTATGGGATAGAAAAATGGCGGATCCGGCAGTCAGCCCTTCCGCTCTCTTTATTCTGGCTCGAGATCAAGCATTCTTTAAGACTCTATTCTTCAGCGCGGATAGAGGTTCTGATCAGGGATGCGTGAAAACTGCACAAATTATGCGTTTCCCTAAAGACGATGGCTTTTTATTTAATCATGTTTGGGGTAAAACTTTACAAGACGGCGCCTATAACGTCTTTGGAATTCGTCGCCATTCAAATCCCCAGCTTTGCCCGGTCAAGGCAATTGAAACATATGTGGCTGTCGCCTCAGAACTACGCATAACTCTCTCCAACGGCTACTTATTTCGCCCCACTAATCACCAGGGTCATATCGTCAATAAGCCCTTTACAAGTTCTTCCACAGAAGCCCGCTTGAAATATTATTTAAAGGATGCGAAAATTGATGAAGGCGAGACTGTGCACGGTTTCCGCTCGGGCTCCGCCATTACCCTCGCTTTGTCTGGATCACAGCTCGCTGATGTGATGTCCCACGTGGGTTGGTCCAACAAGGGTACTGCCCTTTACTACATGACGTTAGCTGAAGTTCTTCGTGAAGGATCTCCTTCTGACTTATTGTCTTCAAACGAGTTGGCCGCCTCCACCTCCACAACTTTATATGCGGATCTTACTCGCTTGAAAGACTTTGTTTCTGCGTTTCCTCGTTCCTAATTTCTGTTTTTGTTAGGATGGGGTTTTCAGTTTGGGGTTCTTGTTTTGAGGATGGGCATCTGTTAGTGCGGTTTTTTTGGTTTCCGCCGTGGCATTTTAGGGTTATCTTCAACACGAGACTGTTGGTGCCCATACTCAACAAAAGGCGTGAGGGAGACAGGTGAGAATAGACTACTAATTGCACATCAATGTTGTGGTCAATTGACAGCTGTCAAAACAGGATATCCGCTGACCAGTATCACCTGACTGTACCGCGGGCTCAAGTGTCGACCCATCGAGGTCGAGTACTATTTTGAAGTTATCCGCTGACAACTTACCAGTTTCAAATGATCGCAGGCTCAAGTCTATTTTTCCCAATGATTCATATGAAATATGTTATGTTTATGTCACTATAGCCCCGCACTGTCAAGATTTTGATTTCTAACTAACGTCGGACGTGAAAATTCAGCCACTTTTTTAAAAATAAAGGCGGGGAAGACTTTTCTTACCATGGTCACGCGTTGGTCACGCCCTACGTCCAATTTTTTTGCTCTGATTGGTCAAAATTTTACAGGAGAGTTCATGCGAAAATTTATGCAGCATCTTGAAAGTTGTTTACTTTGACAGCAAAAGCTGACAGAGTTTTTGTGTCAACTTGTGATGTTTTTAACTGTCTTTTTCCACTGGATGTACAAAATGAAATACAGGTGCTATGAAGAGTCTTCTGTTATCCACGGCTGGTTTGTTTATTGGGTTTTTGGTTGAGAAATGCATCGCTTGTCAAATTGGGTAATCCGATTGCGGATGGCATCGTTTTCGTCTTTCACCTTGCTCAATGCGTAAGATGGTTTAAAAGTCTCAAGCAACTATGGCCTTCCTTGATATCTTTCAGGAACTGAATCTCGAATGGTAAGCCTGAGTAATTATTGTATTTGATGTTTGTTTCTGTCATATCTAATTTCATGAAGTCGAGCACAGTTTATGTGGCAAGTTTTTGCACGTTTGTTGAGATTTGAGTGACTGATCTGATCTAGTATCAGGTTTGATATAGGCTTACAGAACTTTAAAAGGCCTTCAGATATATTTTCTCACGGCAAATAGAAAAAAAACGTTCTGAAGAATATTTAGTTATAAATTTGGCTGTAGAAAGAAAACTTTGAGTGATTTTCTTGTTTCGAGGAGTTCATCTTTGAAAAAAAAAAACAAACACCAGGAGGCCGGCTGAAAGTAAAACAAAATAAGCTTAAGCTTTAAGCTTAAAGAAGAAGGATTTTTAGAGACATTTTAATACTTGTCTTCGTGAAAGAAAATTGTTGTCTCTGTAAATGTTTTACGGAATTATTTTTCTTTTATTGATTGTTAGTAGTCTCTCTTGCAATTTTAATCGCTTGTCCGTGGTGTTTG